GGTGGGAAGTTCTTCTACACCCCTCCTGTAGCCCTGATCTGGCACCCTCTGACTACCATCTTTTCGGATTTGTGAAGGATCAGCTGTGTGGACAGCATTTTGAGACAAGGGAGGCAATTCAGAAAGCAGAGCGTCAGTGTCTTCAGATGGCTGGACCAGAATTTTACAGAAGGGGGATTTTCAAACTCCCAGAACGCTGGGAGAAATGTGTACAAAGAAGTGGTGATTATGTGGAAAAATAAAGAAAGGTCTGTAGATTGAGGTGGTGTATGATGGGGTACCCAAAAGAAACCGAACTAATTTTTTTGTGGGCAGAGCTTTTGTAGTACCGTGTTTTGCCGCTATGAGCGCATAGAGCTAACATTCCTGAGTCGATAAGCCGACTACTGTTGCTTCAGAAGGTAAGGACTAGTTTCGGCAGAGTTTATAGGACAACTGTTTTGTGTGATGGTCGTTTTTGTAATGGCTGCTTTTTGTGAGCGTGTGGCGGTGAAATTCTGCTTTTTGCCGGGAAAAGTGGAACAGAAACTCTTGAAATGTTAAAAACGGCATACAAGGACAATGCTATGGGGAAAACTCAAGTGTTTCAGTTGTTTTCCCATTTCAGAAATGGTGAAATGTCAATTGATGACAAACCTGATTCTGGTCATTCTTCCACGGCCCGAACACATGAAAATGTTGAAAAAATTCGTGAAATCATCAAGGAACATCGACGATGGACCATTGAAGAAATTGTGGAGCTGTCGGGAGTGACTTGGAGCTCAGTTCAGCGAATTTTGACAGAAGATTTGGGAATGAAAAGGGTGGCTGCGAAATTCGTGCCACGACTGCTGACTGCTGAACAAAAACAAGGTCGCGTGGAAGCATGCTGTGCTTTGAAAGAAGAGTCCCGAAATGATCAAAACTTTTTTCAGTTTCCTCGAATGAAAAGAGACATGAAAGGAAAGCGTTTTGCTGATGTTGCTGAGGTGAAGGAAAAAACGACGGAGGCGCTGTCAAGCATCTCAAAAGATGAATTTAGACAATGTTTTGAAAAATGGAATAAAAGACTAGACAAGTGTATTAGTGTAAGTGGAGAGTACTTTGAAGGGGATTGCAGGTTTGTGCTTAAAATTTGAATAAATAAGTTTAAAAAAAAATAAGTTCGGTTTCTTTTGGGTACCCCCTCGTATTCTGTTTGTCAATAATAAAGCATGTTACTTTACAAAAAATTGTTGCTCATGACTTTCAGTAATACCCTCGTATTTCTCAAGGTATAAGAACTTATAATAATTTTAGGGTGTGCCACTGAATGTTTTAGAACTCATTACTGTAGGAGCTTGGGTAATAAGCAAACAGGATAAATTAATGCAGTATCATGTATTCAATGCCTTCAAAGTATAGGAATAAAGCAATATAATATTCAACTTTAGCCAGATTACTAGAACATGTTATGAACCATTTTTAATTCATCTTCAGAGCCAACAGCTTATGCAACATCGATGGCCCCAGAAGATGAACAAAAAATGTGTCCAACAGACTTGACTAAAGGTAAACATTTTATTAGGTATCCAATTCTAGATCAACAGGTTTTGCCATAGGTATATGGTAGCTCAGGATTTTGTTTGAATGAAGCTTGGTGTAACCATAGGTTGGTATTACGTAAGTAAAATGACAAGTCTTATCACTCATTGGAATGAAGACAAAGAATGCTGAAGTTTGTTTGATGTTAGTTTCATGTTAGTCACAGAAGTTTTAAATGATTCAAATGCTATATCTCCATAACTAATGGAGATATCCAAATTAAACTCACATCATGTGGAATTCACATAAGAAAATACTATGTAAGACACAGTCTGCTTTTACCGGTTCTCACGGTCTCTCCGCTTGCAGATTTCTTATATTTTTTCTTCTACCCTGAAGATGGAGGCGATACGTTCCTCCGAAACGTCGGTTAACACCACATATACACGGTGCCAAATCCCAGAAGACTGCTTTCTTCAAGAAAATACTAGCTGATGTTAAAACTTTGCTAGAACTGGAGTTTTTAAAAGTGTCAGAAAGTATACTTGATAAAATTACATGACATTTGTTTTGTTTTATAGATGGTTCCAAACAGCTGTGCAACACATGCCTTGCTGTCTGTACTCCTGAACTGCCCTAATATTCATCTTGGCGCTACATTGAGCCGGCTGAAAGCTCATACATCTGGCATGTGTCCTGAAAACAAGGTGCATTTTTGTCCTGATCCCGTGGGGTCTTGAAATTGTTACAGTGCAGTGACAAATTTATTTTTCATTTAAAAAATACCATAATTTCTTTCTTAGAGATCAACATTAAGTTCTGAATATTTGTACAAACTGTCAGGATGTTATGTAAAACATATTAAAGACTGAGTCAACTTTATGTCCAGTGATCAAATTGTGACCATCTTAAAACAAATGGTAGTTTCTGTCTGTTCATTTTGTCACATGCAATCTAACGTCTTTACATAAAAGGCTTTATAAACATTTGGAAGCAAAAACAATACATATTGCAACACAGGTAATCGCTTTGCAGTTGTTGCAGTCAAAGTGAGAATTGTTTTGTCTCTGAAAGTGTTTTCTGAACATGTAGGGCCTGGTTAGAAGCAGGTCATCATTTTCAGGCTTTAAGTATAATAAAGCTCTGTGTAAAGTTATTGCAGCATGAAGATGTAAAGGGGTATGAAGGTAAAGCTCCACCCATTCTTAATTACAGAACTACTTGGAGGTGGCCATTTTCATGTGATAGGTAAGTTAAATTGTATTGCACAAGGTGGTGGCATTGGCTCAGAAGTTGGTTGACCATTTTGTGAGAATGATGCCACATGACATGAAGTTCAACCATTGAAAAGAGACCCTGTATTAACATATTGATTTTGTTTGAAGCGTGTATATGCCTCTCATGTTTTCAAGTTATTTTGACAAACAAATTTGATTCCTATATGTATCCCATGTTTGTATATAAATAGCCCAGTGGATTAGAAAATGTATAGTAAAGTCTGAAGTTTTGTATGCTTATTTGGTATTTTCTTTATCAATTGCTTGTGAAGTCCCACCATGTTTGCTGTACCTGAAACAAGACGGATTCAGTTCTCCCGAATGATATACATTGATGTGAACTTTAATTATTATTTTATTCATGCAGGGATGGGCTATAGGGAACACACCAGAGTTAGCTAAGGCCCACAACTCTCATGCAATGCCACAAGCAAAGCGCCGTCTTGACAAGTCGACTGGTGTGAGTACAGGTCGTTACACAGGTGAAGCATTTCATTTTGTCAGCTATGTACCCATTCGTGGCAGACTGTTTGAACTTGATGGTTTGAAACCATTTCCAATGGACCATGGTAAGTAATTTAATTCTTATATGGCAAGCAGGTGGGGTACACGGTAACATAGTTGGTTGAGACAATATGCTACAAGCCGGATCAAATCCTGATGAGGTGGATTTTTCAATTTACCTAATCCCTTCCTGTCACACTATGGCCCTGGGGTTGACTCATCCTCTAACAGAAATGAGTACCAGGAATCTTCCTGGGGGTAAAGGGTGGCTGGCGCATAAGGCTGACAACTTTACTTCTGTCTGTGAGCTGATTGTCTAGAAAATGTGGGAGCCTCAGCACATCTCAACCCTATGGGCCTCCATGGCCTGTTACAGGGATACCTTTACCTTTTTTTTATGGCAAGCAGGTCTCTTAATAGTGTTAGAATAGTAAGATGTAGGAGGCTGAGGTAGACTTTACATGTTGCTAGGATGGGAGACAAAGAACACAGGCATAAGTTTGGTGGTGAAATCTTGGAAAATAGCCATTTGGAAGACTGAGATGGAGATTGAGGAGGGAGGTTAAATTAAGATGGATCGTTAGGGAAATAGGATGTGTGAACTGGGGGTGGTGGCTGAAAGTCATGTCAAATTGCAAGCTTTGAAACTAATCATGGTGAATATTTGAGTTCTCTTGTCAGAGACTGAGTTGGGTACAGTATATTCCTGATTATCCATGTAGAGGTTATCTCTTTTTCAGCCTGTCTGTATACCTTATTTAGGTGCTTTCACAATCATGCAGAGTTCCTGTTAAGTTTTCTCTGTCTACATGTGTGAAACAACTTGACAACTGCTGGTTGGAATTTCAGGAAATTTGATAGCAGCTTATGTACCATACAATTGTTAACTCTTTGTTTTCATTTAGATTGGGCACTTAGTTACCACTTTACAGGAAGACCTACACGTGTTTCTCAGCTATCTTGAGCGTAACTAGCTAAATGTTTATAATTGTTCTTTTCATCTTGTCTTATGTTTTACAGGACCTTGGGGTGAGAAGGAAGACTGGACAGAAAAGTTCCGTCGTGTAATTACAGACAGGCTGGGCATTGCGACTGGGGAGCAATATCATGATATTCGATTCAATCTGATGGCTGTTGTTCCAGATAGAAGACTTGCACTGACCCACAAGCTGAAGATGTTAAAAACTAATAGGTAATTTTGAAATTTTCTGTGCACTAAAATTATCTCATGTTTTTTTACTTCTTACATTATATCATAACGTTTTAGTAATCAAGCTGTAGGTCATTAGTCGTAACATTATTTTGAAGTTGTAATGTGATGAATTTTAGTGGCATTAACCTGTTCATACTTTTATCATTTCAACTGATCATTCTCTTTTTTCATTACCACTGCCATCAGCATTGCTTAACTTTGACAGTTCATATTGAATCTTCATGTACTTCAGGTTGTAAGGGTCAGTTCTTTTGCTCATGGCCAGATCCATTCTAGTACGTTTAAAAATGTCAGCTGAGTTATCAAAATGTTGTATAATCATAGTAGGGGACAGTGTTTTAAGGCCATATTTAGCTTGACTTGACAGCTTCAAGTCCCCTACAGATTTCCATCTGTGTGAATCATATGTTATCTGAGCTTTCCTTCTTTCCAGTTGTTTGTTTCATTTTGTATTGTGCCACATGGCCACTGATTGGGAGTTGACAACATTTTGTGGTTGTGCTATGCATGAAATTAAAAGAGTTTTCGCTTCTGATTATGGCAGTGAATCAGAAATCCTTACATTTGAATATGAATTTCAAAGTAATATTTTTGTGTGAAGGTGGTTCTAACAAATGGTGATACAAGGATACAGTATGGATTTCTTTTCATATTGTTCACCGTTTTGAAGAACAAATGCATAACATGATCAGCTGTTCCTTGTAATGGGTTATCAGTGACACAGACACATGTCAGATGCAGAGAATGAAGTTTTGAAATCCATGATTTTCAGGTGGTTTTGCCAGGAATGAGTGTCTGTCATTGTGGTTGTTCAAGGCAAGAATCGACTATTGTGCACACTTGAAGATCAAGAACTTTTAGTGGTCTGAATAGAGGCTTTACCATTTAAAAGCAGGAAAGGCATTAGTATGAACAAAGTGTCATGTGGTTTTTGTGTTTAGAACCATCCCATTACATAGTGTAGATATTCTCACGTGTCCGGGGTTCCAGGACTAATAACAACAGGTTCTGGATTGGATGACTGGATTTACTGCTGCCTTCTATTACAATTACAACCAATTACAGTCAGTTGCAACAGCTCACAGTCAGTGACTGTCTAAGACTTGCACCATTCCTCAAGCTTTCATTGTTTGCTTAACACTCCACAGCTGAACACTCAGTTTCTGAATTGGTTGATTTACCCTATTATATTTTCTGTTAAAATTTACCCACATTATTGCAAGCACTAAGACAGTGTCTCTCACATCGATATCATGAATTTGACACTATATAATTTATGCAGTTGGAAACGGATCTTTAAACCAAAAATAAATCATTCAGTGTTTTCTGGAATATAATGTCATATAGTCTGTTGAAAGTCAACCAACATTTTGTAGGAAAAATGTTGTTTCTATCTTCAGGGTTGAAGAATATTCAAGCAAGAAACCAGAATGACGCAGATAGCAAGCAGAACTATCCCAGAAGATAGAACTTTTCTTAACCACCATTGTGAGAACCTGAAATCCTGTATTCAAGATTGTCTTTCAGGAAATTAGCATGAAACCAGCATTAAGCTCTGCTTGCTACCTGTTTCTTGCAGGTTTCTTGCTTGGCTTATTCTTTGACCCTGAAGACAGACATGCTCCTCTGAAATGCTGATTGGTTTTTAACAGACTGTATAGTGTTATATTCCAGGAGATAGAACATTTCATAACCACTGTTGTAAGAACTCAAATCTTACAAATCTTTCAGTTATTGTTAGGAATTTTAAGTGCAAAAGTTTGACTTTTAGTTGAAATAACAGTTCTAAATTATGAGTCAGCAGAATCTGTCACCCTATTTGTCAAGTTCATTGTAGTAACAAAGTGGATGAGCACAGCAGTATGCATTAGAATCACATTATGGAGGTGAATCAGCTATGCTGACAGCTTGCATATAGATTTTCTCAGTAAAGGTAAAGAAGGTGAAGTTATTCCTATGCTTAATTAAGCATCATGCCAGGAAGGCTTGTGAGTAGTGGAGGGTTGCTCCTCTTGTGATGGTCAGCATTATGCCCTGCTTCTTGACCCTGTGGGAAACATTCACCAGTAACCATTCTACAAGGGTCTGGCTCAGCCCAAGAGCTGCTCTGGAGAAGAGAAAATATTGTAACATGTTTGGCTACTTAACCTACAAGTCATAACTACAATTAATTATGACACTGTTACGGGTTTACACAATTTACAAACCCTACACACTAATCTATTCACTCTATCTTCAGTAGTTTTCACTTATTTACAGTACAACACGGGAACTATAAAAGTGTCACTGAATTACACACTCCCAATACCTTCTCAGTTATCATCAGTATCACTAATTATCACACTTAAAATCTTCTAACCACGCGTTTGGTTCTTCTTCTACCACAGCTGTTATATTTCAACTGAACTTATAACTTCTTGACAGTTCACTTGATACAACTGAACTCGGCCACTGTTAGACTTCAGCTCACTCCTTAGTCATTCCAGCTACTTACTTACTTACTTACTTATGGAGCTGAGCCCTTCTGGAGGAGCCGCCAATTCTGTAGCTACTCAAGAATTTCCCAGCATTTTATGGAACCCGGAGGTTCATTACTGTGTTCACAAGAGCCCTCCACTGGTCCCTATCCTAAGCCAGATCTATCCAATCCATACCATCCCATCCTATCTCTCTTAAGATCCATTCTAATATTGTCCACCCACCTACGCCTTGGTCTTCCCTGTGGTCTCTTTCCTTCTGGCTTTCCCACCAATATCCTATACGCATTCCTCATCTCCTCCATTCGTGCTACATGACCTGCCCACCTCATCCTCCTTGACTTGATCAATCTAATTATACTTGGAGAAGAGTACAAGTTATGAAGCTCCTCATTATGCAGTTTTCTCCAACTTCCTGTGACTTCATTTTGGTCCAAATATTCTCCTCAACACCCTGTTCTCAAACACCCTCAGTCTGTGTTCCTCCCTTAATGTCAGAGACCAAGTTTCACACCCATACAGAACCACAGGCAAAATTATAGTTTTGTATATTCTA